TTCTTAACGGTCCATTATATCTGTTTCTCTGGACAATGACTTGTTTGTTCCAACAAGTTTTACACTCTGCTGTTCACTGTTAGTGACTGTAGAGCGAAAAAAGGGTTTAACTTGAAATCATGAGACATCAAACTGGCCAACAGCATATTCAGATCATCTGATGCCTCTGGCTTGATTGTGATTTTTGAGCGACAGGATTTACAATTTAAATTGTTTGAATATTTTCACACAGTGCAGACCTGCACTTTTTCAAGCCATAGGGCCCAGGGGGTGCAGACAGAGGTGGTGGAGACAGACCTTTTGACTTTTCACCAATGTATTAGCAGACACACTTCTAAATGATAATATACACATTTTCAACAAGTTACGACAAACAGTCAGATCTGTGTGTGTGTGTGTGTGTGTGTGTGTGTGTGTGTGTGTGTGTGTGTGTGTGTGTGTGTGTGTGTGTGTGTGTGTGTGTGTGTGTGTGTGTGTGTGTGTGTTTAAAGCCAGGTGTTTGACATTAACTTCCCTCTCTGCCTCTCTTTATATTTCATACCCGTCCACTGTAGGTTAAGGGTGCTTCAGCCTCAGTGCTGATCTGCTGATTGGAGTCAGCTCGCAGCTCAGATCAAAGAGCAACAATGATTTATTGTGAGGATTTGTGACCTTCTTGCCCTCACTGCATTTCAAATCATTCTGGCATTTCTTGAGCAACAAATGTGTAATTATGCGACTACCAATCCAAATGGATTTGGAGCACAGATGAGATAGAGATGTGTGGAAAACCTTTCTGAAAGTTTTGGGATTTGATACATGGAGCTCTTCATGTTACAGGGTTCAGAATTGTACAGTTACAGAGTACATTTGTTGTTACACAAAAAAGCTGCTAATCTACAATAGCCTATTAAGACCATTGCAGGTAAATCATTTATATTACAATTTATGAAGCCAGGGGAGTGGGGTGAAAATCCAAAGACAACATTCAGAATTTACTAGAAAAAAACTGAATATTCTCTTCAGAGTTTGAAGTCGTTAACTTAACTTAAAAGCTATCATATGTGTGGTTTGATGAGGTTCATCCAAACATGAGAAGTGAAGCAAAGTATTTTTCTTCAGGAAACGTCTTTTTTCTTACTTCCTGAGCTTTATCTCAAATGTATCGCTTAGATCTTGGAAATTCTAATGTCTAAGGGGATGCTCCATAAATAACTCGTCTTATGATTCGGCACATGTGTTTGCAAGGCGTTCAGAAAGTGGTTTTGTTCCTCCATTACGGTATCTGCTCTGAATTTGCAATTTTGCATCACTTTAAAATGTTATGCAACGGTTTTCCTCGAACCAAGTCGCCCACATTTCTTTAAAGTGTGTAACAGTGTCTGTGGGAACTTGGAACTTAAAGATGAGATAATTTTCCTAAATTGATTTGGAGTGTTTACGCTCATTTTTCTCCACACTTTACAGTCTAATGTCACAGTGATCAGCAGCGGGTCAGAGTGCAGCAGCTGCAGGGCTTTTGGCTGCTCCTCATCCTGCAGCTGCTGAACTGGTGTGGCAGATAGAGGGCCGGACAGGACCAAACCTGGCTCAGTTAAGATTTTAAATGGTTTCAGAGGCTTTTCTCAGACTGACTCTAGCCTTTGAAGCTGTTTGATTTGTGATGCAATTTCTCACAAGTCAAATATTTTTGTGAGATATAGCCTTTAATAAGTCTCAAAGGCCTTACGAAATATTGAATTGTCAAATATTGGCTAAACATTTTAGCCAAAGGCCCTGCACAGTCAAAGAGGTGAACCCACTTGTTAAATGCAAAACAAATTATATTTATATTGATTGCAACCACCAGATACATGAAGTTAATATAAAACGTTGCAACATTTCACTCTGGAATATCCTGCTTTAGTTTAAAATCTCCAAATATTGAAGAAAGTAAGTAATGAAGTATCACCCATGGTACCACTCTGAGAATACATGTTAAATCACATCTTAAATGGACCCTCAGGTTCTGAATAAATGCACATTTTCAGAAGTTCAGAATTGTGAACACGAGATGCACATTTTTAACAAGACACGTTTGCCATCATTTAGTTTAGTTTCAAGCAATATGTTGCTACTGTGATTTAAATACGAAACTAAACGATACAATACAATAGGATGCTGTGATATGATAACAATACAATTTGATAGAATACATTATTATTGAAAGTAATAACTAGAAGCAGATGCAAATAGCTGGGCTGCAGTTTCATGAAGTCTTGTTAACTCGTAAAAAAAACACCCACAATAAAAAAACACAGCTTGCAAATTGTCAAGCAAATTATTGTGAATGATGCCCGGACCAATGGCGGACATTTACAGGATTGCACATTTTACATGAATACCGCACACAACATTAAAGTACAGAAGGATGGGATGTTTTCGACCATCTAAAAAATGCATTTCTTTAAAAAAAAAAAATGAAGAAAGGCAATCAAGGTATTGGCCTCTCTCTCATTCTCTTCTAATTTTCTGCTTCCACAGAACAACAAATCAGGACCTGAAGGATCTAAAGGGGCCAAAGGTCACAGAGGATCCGAGGGCAATCCGGTAAGATTACCACGGAGCCAATGAATGAGTTTATAGGTGTGTTTGTGTGCATATTTGTGGGGGTGTGCAAGTGGAGACACTGGAGGTACTGCTCTCCAAACTCCAAACCATTACCCTACTCTCACTTTCTTTGGGGTATTTTTTCTAAACACCTACAGTGGAAAGTTATGCTTAAAGATTAGCCTAGCTTAGCTTGATGGAAAATTACATTTTTAATTGCGTATTTACAAATCCACTGACAGACACATCAGTTGCAAACAATTACATCATTTAGAAACATAAACAAATCCCATGAAAACACCAAAACCAATAATTTCCCGGGCCTTTCTATGGCACTCAACCTCAAGCCTATTCGTTCCTAGTAATGACTTAAAAAAGGGTTCCTTAAAAGAGACCTACCATGCAAAATGCACTTTTTGATGTCTTTTATACATAAATATGTGTCCCCAGTGTTTCGGGGAACTCACGCAGCGTCAGAAAATAAAACCCTTTCTCTTTTCCTCCGTACCCAAATCTTCTAAAAACGGGGGTACAACGAGCGGATGCAGATTTGCTGCCGATATGACGTAATTTCGGATGGTGGACCCACAGAGAGTTGCTATCAGAAACAATGCCTGACGTGTTTTGGACGTAATATGGTATTAGCAAGCCTCGCTAGCAATCAGAGCTAACCTGTACTGGAGAGCACTGGATAGCAGGAAATATAAAAACGAACTCACCTTGTGATAAACCGCAAGAGCAAAAGCATTTGAGCTCCATACTGTTTCAGAAATAATCATTGATGTGGTTTATAACAGGATGGCGTTTTATCACAGCAGAATTTAACTTTATCTCCGGTAGAATTCTGATCAGGCATTAGCTCCCTCTCCTCTTTTTTTTTTTTTTTAAAGCTAAGGACCCAAAATCCGCGTTTCTCTTAACAGGGCTGGAATAGAGGGATATGAGGGATGTCGGAAATGCATGATCTGTTTGTATTTTGAGCAAAACACATTATAGACATGTTTTTATATATTTTTATATATCTGAGACCCATAATATATGCCTTAAAATAGCATGACAGGTTCACTTTAAGAAAAAATACTTGAAGCTTTTCATAAAACAGCTCGACACTACTTTTTAAGCACATTTGACTGAAACAAGAGAAAACAGTCTTATATTTGGAAGTGGCTTCCAGCTCCGGATGAGTACACATTAAGTCATATGGTAAATATTTAGAGCACCAGAATGGTAAATAAAAGAAACTACAGTGCCTGTGTTACTAAGAAACACCTCACTTTGTACTGGTCAAACTCACTGAACGGTTTTTCATTTCATATCAACAATGGAGGTCTTTGTCAACCATTGACTCATTGTTGGATTTGGTATTTTCATGGGATTTTTTGACACTTACTGTGTATTTCCCTACGTATGGGCAGAGGTTGCTACTGATCCCTTACACATCCATTAAGTGAGCTAAGGTTGGTCAGCACTCAACATAACATCAAACCGCATGCAAAGACATAAAAGAAGGCTTTCCTCAGTGCGGCTCAGTATGTTGGAAAGATAGTGTAATTACGTTTCCCTGTCAACTGGAAAGGGAAAGCTTATGGTATTGGATCATATGAAGAGATGAAAAGCTAGGTTTAACTATAACACTGTGTGAGACATGTTGTCCACTCACAGTGTTAAAAGCTCTCACACTTTCCCTACTTTCTGTTTTTCCTCTGTGTCCTCCCTTTTTTACTCCTCTCTCCTTTTCACCTCTCCTCTGGCTTGTGTCTCTGCTGCATATTTCTGCATGTTTGCGGCATGCGTTGTCGGACGGTTTCTCTCGTCTACAATTAACGGCCGTCTCCCTTTCCCTCTCTTGTGTGTGTGTCTGCCTGTGTGCACACATGCAAGCTCTACTGGCGTCTTTGTCACAGAGAAGAATGCTCTTAAACTGAGTTTAATGTCTGTTAAAACAAAACAGATGGCTTTCAAGCAGCCGAGTGGAAAAAAAACAAAAAATGAAATGCTGTGGCAATGAACTTTCGGAAGATTCACATGTTGTTGCAGAAAGATAGCAACGCTCACAAATGTGTGGGTGTGGATGTGGGTTGGATGACTGAGGGATTCTGGTTTACAGTCAAAGGGGTGATGGTTTTTCCAAAGAATCAACAGTTTTTGTTTTTTTTCCTGTGAAAATAAAGTGTTACAGTTCTTGCTCTGTCATCTAAAAGTCAAACCGGATACACTTTTGTCTGTCCAGTTCTTTTAATCAGATAGAACACATTAATCAAATGAATCACTCGTTCTCCCTTTTTCTTCAGGGACCTATTGGGCCTTCTGGACCACCAGGAACTGATGTGAGTATAACAAATATTTAATCAGTCCATTTATTCTGAACCCCCGTCCTCATTTATGCTGAGACAGGTCGGCTAAACACCACAGATTTGATTTCCCCTCGAGGCCCACGCTAGTTTTGACTCTGGAACTGATACTGTATGTTCAGTCTAAAGCCACACATTCAATTTCCTAAACACACCAGAAAATAGCCTTTCACCAACAGACCTCTGAGGAAATTATATTGTCATGTTTTCTCTATTCTGGAACCGCTTCAAACTGTACAAAAAGTTATGTAATGTGATTTAAGGGGGCCTTGCTGTCCTGTAACGTACTCCACCTCTCTTTTCAGGAATGTGAAATTCTGGATATCATCATGAAGCTCTGCTGTAAGTTTAACGCTCAACTCGCAGAAGTGAAGCCAGATGTACCCCATTTCAGAAATGTTGGCCTTTTCAACTCAGAGCCTGATTAGCCCATCATGTAATCGAAACCTGAAGAATGTTAGGGTTGCACGGGCTATGTTGTGTTACGTCCTGCGCAGTTAATTAACTCTGATTTGTGTTGTTTTCCCTCTTTCCTCTCCTTATCACGGCGCAGCTTGTTGTGGTAAGTTTGCCCTTAAAGTCACCATCATGATCATGTTGTTTCTCATGCTCTCTGGCTATTGTGATCCTTTGTAATTTTGTTTATGTCTGCCTCCAGAGTGTAAGTGTGCAGCGATGGACCTTGCCTTCATCGTGGACAGCTCAGAGAGTATCGGTGCCACCAACTTTGCACTCTCCAAAGACTTTATCGTCACAGTCATAGACAGGCTGATCAAAGACCAGCAACTCAAGGTAACACCCTATAATTGTCTCCACTGTAAATCATATCTATCCAATCTCTGCCTAGCCTCAAAGGGATAGCCAGCAGTTGAACTTTGTGGATTGTGTTGTTTATTTAGAGTGACACAAAAAAAGTTGCAAAAGCAGTTTTCAGAGATGTTCAGAATTGCCAAGAACAGACTTAAAAATAGAACTTGTGAAAATGAAATATTGGGTTGGGTTTTGGAACTTGCTTTATGTCTCTCCAATGACTCCTTCCGATTGGATGTAATTAGTCATGATGGGTGGGACGCAAAAATGTTGGCAGAGGAGGAACTCGTAGACATAACACGCAAAACAAAACACAGAGTCACCATACAATGCTTTTTTCCCCTCCAGTTTGCAGGCAATGAGTCAGGTTTGAGTGTGGTCCAGTACAGTGGATCACAAGCCCAAGAAGTTATCCGACTGAGCGGCAGCCTTGGCCTCACCGCATTTAAACAGTGAGTTCACAAAATGATGCCCTCCCTTAGGACTTCCTCTTTGATTTCATTGGTTTAGTATCTGGTTACATCCTCTTCATGTTTTCAATGACATGAGAAGATTGAAAATCTTGTCATCTGACCACTATGCACATTATGCAGTTACCTAACCCTTGGAAAAAAGCAAACGCATGTATTTCAAAACATTTTTAACAATTTCTATAAGGAGCTTTTAGCTTTTACTAGAATCAAACTAAGCTAACTACAACAGCTCTTTGTATTTTTGGCTGAAAAGGCCAGCTAAGAATGGTTGGAAGGCCAAAACAAATTTAGTGTTGACATGCTCTTGACAATGTTTGACCAACAACCCATCGACTCTGTTTAAATTCTAAACAAATGTCAGCTATTTCTTCTAATATTTGCGATGGACGATGGAATATATATCAATCCTCTAACTGTGTTCTCAAGTGCTTTTTCCAATATCCTTGATTTTATAAAGAAAAAGCCATTGATTTTGTGTGATAATATTTCTCTGTGTGTGTGTGCAGGAAAGTGAGAGACCTGGAGTGGCTGGCTGAGGCCACGTACACAGGCGAGGCCCTTGATTTTGCTCTGAAGAACTCAATCAAACTTATGACGCATGAGAACAAAGTCATCATCGTTCTCACAGACGGACGTTCTGACATTTCGAGGGACAAGATTCCCCTCAACGTGCTCTGTGGTCAAGGCCTCAGGGTGAGTACAATACTCCTAGAAAGACGCAGTAAAGGCCCATGCTGCACTTGTGGCTATTTAAAGTTAAAACTTAGAAGATCTTGTTTTGGCCACACCAATTGCGGTTAGCGTTTATTGCATATTTGTTTTTGGATCTCGCTTCCCAGAGATCGCAGCTTTTCATTTTTTCTGGAAATGGCACTACATGTTTTCTATTTGTAATTTTCTTGTATAAAAGAAGATTGATTGACTTGTTCGTTGACGTTAGCAACATGGTTACCACTAGCAGCCTGGCTAACATTACTGTCCATGGCCAGAACCAAACGTAAGAATCCCAAAGAACTAGAAACCTTATTCTTAGTGCGTTGATAGAGGCCAAGTAAAACACCCTGTAGAATTAATAAGAAGACAGGCTATGAATACTTACTGATCTAGCTCAATGGAAGAACGTTTTTATCACTCCTCGTTCTTTGCCGGTTAAGACGTATTTTATTAATGACAAATTAGGACATTTTTGTTTCCACAGCTAGCATTACTCTGGTTGTTCTGCTACCTGAGTAAAGCTACTTTGTTTACTTCCCCTTCAGCAAAATGCTCTCTGGTAGATATGACGCAGTGTATATATTTAAGGCTTTTATTGACAAAAATGAGAATAATCTGTAATGTGCTGCCATGTGGGATCAATAAAGACTTTGCTGTCTTGGTTCAGACGCTTCTGGTTATTATTTTATTATCTTCATAAGTGAAGGCAGGACTCAAGCTCTGTCCTCTTTCTTTCGGTGCTGTTTACCAACTCTTTATTTTCCCGTAAGATGGCAACCGAAATGTAGATAGTGTCAATATTTTATGGACATTACATCATGCAAACAACACTTACCTTATAAGGATTTTAAAATTCCCACCAAACTAAAACCTTCCTCCTCCACAGGTGGGTGGATTAGGCGTGAAGGATTATTCAGGCCGTGAGCCAAACCAGGAGCAGCTTGGGGAATTGGTTTGTAAGAGTGACCCCAAACCAGGCTTTCAGTTTGTCTTGGACAACTACGCAGAACTTCTGGATGACACTTTCCTTCAGAACCTCACAACCAATATCTGTGCAGGTAAATAACACACACAGTGCAAACACACACATCGCTGGTAATTTCCATCAAGTAAATATGTTGCACCAACCTCAAATAAAGTGACGAAGTAACCCTTGTTGTTCTTTCTTTCAGAAAAGAAATGCCCCGACTACAAATGTCCCAGTAAGTCTGTTTTTCTATTTCAAATATATAAGTTGTATATGTTGTTGGACCATGTTTCAATGTATTTAACATTGTATGTACCTTATTCTACTGCTATTGAACCATCTTTAGGTTTCTTTTAAATCTTAGTACATTCAGATAAAGACAGTTGACATAAAACAATCAACTATTTAAACCTATGTTTACCTACCTTAAATGTACAAGAAAATTGAAAATACTAGTTGGCTGTCTTTAAACTGAATCACTCTAGTCTTTGATTATGATTGGCAGCAGTTATTAATCAGATGTGTTGTGTCTGTGTTACAGTCTCTTTCTCTGAAAGTGCCGATATCTTGGTGATGATGGATAGCTCGGCCAGTGTGGGCCAGAAGAACTTTGAGACAAGCAAGACCTTTGTCAATCGCTTGGCTGAGCGTTTCCTGAGTGGCGAGAGGAAGAGAGGTGCCACTGTCAGAGTGGGTGCAGGCCAGTACAGCAGGAGCGCCCGCATGGAGCAGGCACCAACTACCAATCTGACCCTGCTGTCCTATAAAATTGAGCAGGCAGGCTTCCAGAATGATGGCACCAACGTGTTAGAGGCCATGGAATTTGCCATGAAGAGTTTGCAAGGCCGCGGGGACGCATCAGGAGGCAGGAGGAAGCTGGTGCTGTTCTCTGATGGCAGGTCTCAGGCCATCACCGAGGCCCTGCTGGAGAAGCGTGCTCGTGAGGTGTCGGACGCCGGGGTCGAGCTCTTCGTCATCACCATCGGCACCCAAGTCAATGAGGCCAACCTGCGCACACTGGTGAGCAGAGGGCGGCCAGACGACATCAGCTACGCCCAGCGGCATATCTTCCGTGTCCCAGACTACGCTTCTCTGCTCCATGGGGTCTTCCACCAAACCGTCTCCCGCAGGGTGTCCATGCCTTGAGTGCAGGGCTCTGTACAACAGGACCAACACGCTTTAGTTTTTTAGTCCCAATATGAATATTCAGTCTCACTCATTTACCATACACTGTGTTCGAGTATGTCACAAATGACAAATGATTGTGTGGCAGACTAACAGAAATGTCTTAATGAAATTTACTTGGGACTTTTTTACCCTGAGTTGAGCCTCCAATGGTGATTCTCTCGGGCTGTGTACAATTTCCACCTCCTATGCTGGGGTCATTAGACTATAACCCCGACTGATGGTGCTAACATAAACTATTTTGGAATTTTTTTACTTGTTGTGACAAGTACACAGCTGGGAGGAATTGCTCCCAAAAAAAGGCAAAGTTCAGGCTAAAAAAGTCCCATTCAAAGAGGTTGCTTCTGTCCCGGGGAGCCATCAGTAATGAAACACAACTAAACAAAATGTTTAGCTTTCAAATGCATTGAGCTGATTTCCACTCAGGTGTTATGCATCACTTTATACCAGTGTTAACCCGTGCTCTCCCTTACTTCAACTAAAAAGTGTGGTAAAATGATCCTGTCTTTCTGGGACCGGAGCTCCTGACATCTGAAGAATTTTTTTATTTTTTTTATGTGAACTCAGTTTTGTAGCTCTTACCACTCTTTCAAGTGGTGTCGGATTTGTGGTGTCACAATTTTACAATGTAAGCAAACTGACCGCAGCTGTGGATTGAAAACATAGAAATTCTTTGGTGAATGATTCTCTGACCCAGATGATTGTGCATTTAGAAGACTGGGGCACGATTTGCCAGTAAACTTTATTTTATATAGGTCTTGCCTCGATAAAGCATTGTTGAAAAGGTAATTTAGAAATACTCTGATTTTTTCAAAAGTTGTAGGAAACTCACATCCGACATCACTTAAAAGCTCTATTAGATCACCAAACCTAAAGGGAAAACAGGACATGACATCAGGCAGACTCCAACATTAGCACTTCACCTGGATCTAATGAGGACACGACAGCTGGACTCAACATGTGTGATTCGGCCCGAGTTTGTGTGTGAGTGTGTGTCTGTATGTGTGAGCACCTCTGAGTTATCATCAATTACATATGGGAGTGAAGGCGATTCTTTTATGTGTAGCCTTGGGGGATTGTTCCATAAACAGTTGTGCTGGGGTCACTGATTCAAATGACAGAATGACAGAAACCTGTGCAGAGAGACCTCTGTCAAATACACACATACACACATACACGCATACACGGACACACACCTTGGTGCTTCATCAGTGAGGTAGGAAAACATCTGTCATGGTTGAAGGCTGGAAAATAAACCTAATGGGACTGGTGCTGTTAGCCCCACCCACATACACAGAAAACTGTGTCTGCCTTCATCCCCTTAACTGTTAAGTTGCACAATTTCTGTTTCATCAGTGGCCCAAAGTCACTGTTCTGGTGTTATTATCTGTGGTGCTATTATTCTCAGTGTTTTAGCCCCTTCCCATGTTGTTTAAAGAAGATATTTTTACCTGAGGATACAAAACTCAGTACTGTTGTAAGAGCTCCTTCAATAAAGGTTGCCACACCAAAGTGTCTCAGCTAATTTTTCTCCACACACACAAAAACACACACTCACAATTTAATTTCTTGGCTTACAAGAGCAGTATACAATAATGACTATTGGGCTAGCCCTGGCTTTGATGCAGTCCGACCAAAATAATGTAATTCTGGCCCAAAAGCTACAGGACGCTAGATCCTCTCTTATCCCCTGACCAAACATTTTTCCAAATGTACATAAGCCCTTAGAAGTCCACAGTTTAAAGATGTGATCCGCTTTGTTAAATTTGTAAAGAGGCTGTACGCTTTTAATCAGAATCAGTATCAGAATACCTTTAATCGTCCCACAGAGGGGACATTTACATTAGTATTGTTAAAGGTCCCCTATTATACTGTTTTTCATCAATATATTATAGGTCTCAGATATATACACAAAACATGTCTCTGAAGTGTTTGGCTCGAAATACCAAACAGATCATGCATTGTAGCATCCCATAATCCCCTCTGTTTCAGCCCTGTTTCAAAAGTGCTGATTCTCTGTCTTTTATCTTTAGATGAAAATAAGGGCCACTCCCCACGCCCCTCTGATGCCTCTTTCACACCAACGCGGTTCCCGTTCTAGCTCCATGCTAGAGCTTTTCTGGTTCTGAACCGGTTTTTCTTTTCAGCCCCCGTTTTGTTCACACCGCCCAGAGCCCAACTGGTGCTGCCACTGCTGCGTCATGAGGTCACCGTTTACGGTTTTAAGGCGCTCACTACAACAACAACAATGGGGGACTGCGTTGGGTCGATGATCGTGTTGCTTTTAATCATACAAAGCCAGATTAAATTAAGTGTGTCAGTCTGAATTGACGCTGTTCGGCATCACAACGCTGTTATGAAAGTTTCTCTGGTATAAAATGGGTGATGTTAGCATAGCAACCGAAGCTAAACTGACTATCTGAACTACTTGTTGTTGCTATCCTTTTGTGGCATAAGCGGTTTTCTACAGGCACATTTTACCGGCGTATTTTTCATTATGATTCTACGTGTGATAGTCGGACATGACAACCTGTGCAGCCCATGTATTGATTCCATCCGATAGCTGCTATAATACAAAATAAAACGTCTATCTGCTCTCCACAATGATCAATAACAGCGAATGGATGGTCAAAGTAAGGTAGCCTAAAAATAAACAGAATCACACGATTATATTTGAATAATATAGTGTAGGACCATACCTATATAAGGCATATTTATACTTTTTATTTTTCAAAATACCAAACAGATCATGCATTTTAGCCATTCCTCATTTCGCTCAATTTAACACTGTCTTTTCATGTGCCGATTCTGTGAGAACAGCACCATCTACAGGCCTGGCATATGTACTACAGCGTCTCCAGCGCTTTCAAGCGGCAATGTCCGTGGCTGTCTCCTCCTGATTGGTGGAATTGGCCCAATAGCCGTAGCGCCAACTCTGTGACGTCATAGAAATGTTCAAATCTGGACCAGTCTGTATCAGATCCGTTGCAGCCCCTTTTTAAGAGATTTGGGTATGGAGGAAAATAGAGAGGGT